CGACACCAATAACACTCAAAATCAATATAATCTAATCTAACAAAACACAAGCCTAATCAAGAATCAATAATCCATACAACAATGAAATACAAAAACCAAGTTAAATCGGTTCAAAGAGCAAGAGATTCAGAAGAAATGAGAAGAGAAAATGAGAGCATTTGTGTAAGAGAGAGCAGAGCAAGAGGAGAGACAAGAGTTGTGGGAGACGAGTCTTCGATGGCAAAGCAGGAGAAGAGAGGCGTGGGAGAGCAAGAGAGAGCTTAGAAGAGATTAATAGCCGAAATGAGAGGAGAGAAGACTAGAGGAGACAGCAACATAGATCATATCTGGAACTGGAGGAAGAGACGTCAAAAGCTGATATAAAGAGCACATATTGGACGGTTAAAATATTAGTAGTCCAATATTGATAAGCTTTATTGGACTGTTATTTATAATAACTGTGCAATAAAATCTAAAAAAATTAAAGGAAAATGAAAAAATTCAAACATATATTGGACGGTTATTTATTGAACCGTCCAATATTATAATTTATTGAACGGTTATAATAACCGTCCAATAAGGCCTGTCATATATATTCATTTCTGTAGTAGTGCTATCAAAGTCATGGCCACTTAATTTAAGATATTCGAGAATGTTATGGATACTTGTGTGAGTGGTATTAATAGTTGAGAGTGGAAAAACAAGTTTCATTTTATGGTACACTACACTTGATTTCTATCACAGCCTAGAGTTTGAGTCTTTTTTGCTATGCACAAAAAAGAAGTATTCTCTAGTAGTAGTAGTAATTGTTGTTGTTGTTGTTGTTGTTGTAGGGTTATCTCGCAATAAAATGAATCTTTTATTCAAATTTTCACCATTAATAATACACTCAATTCAGGGAGGGATCTTTTGGGGGTGTCCTTGCAATCTGAATTTTAAAAAAAAAATTAGTAGTTTTTATGTCAAAAAAATTAGAAAAAATTTCAACCATAAGTTGTGAGTGAGTGACATTTTTCTGAAAAGTGGGAATCACTTGTTTGTCCTTAAGATAAAATTATAAACCATAAGCTATGGGGTAATGAAAACTTTTTTGTCCAAAGTGCATGTAAAGCTTTATTTCAAGGACATTACTTTTTGACAGCCTTCAGATTCAGAAAATAAGCTAACTTAAAAAAAAAAAAAACTTAAACTAAACAATTTTTTTACCTCCTACCCAATATCTCACAAAGAAACAAATTAACTAAACCTTTTCTATCTCTATCCCTGCCCCACTCCAAATCTCTGAAGGTCACTTGGCATGAACCCACTCCATCCCACAGTCCCCACTACAAATCTCCAGCGCAAGGCCAGCAACAATAGGCGACAGCGTCACAACCACTTCTTGTCTTCTTCCGTTTTCTTTAATTTCTTCCACTGGCGACACGCGACAGCAACTTGAAAGTTGAAAGCAGAGCAACGGCTTCATCAGCTTGAGTGCTTGACCATTAGGCATTTGCTTGTAAGTTTCATCTTGACCCATTAGAGTTTGACTTTAGTTTTTTCCTATTGCAGATTACACTCATGCCACCCCCCTCGGGTTTTTTTTTTTTTTTTTGCTTTGTATTGTCTATTACTTATTGTATAAATTTATCTTAGCAATATGTTCAAATGTATTTTCTGTTGTGGCTTAACTACTTTTATGTTGTTGCAATTTTAGATAAACCAATAAATATATTTAAGAACTTGTTTTCTTTTTATGTCTCTATAGGAAAAATATTAATCATGAAAAAGCCTACAACTATTGATAGTTTTTTTAAAAGAAAATCTCCCCTGCCTCTCCAAAAACTTGAAGTTAGTGGATCATGTAATCTTTATGAGGAAGTCAATAATGAGCAGCTTTAAATTTCTAGCCTCTAAAGGGTCACATCTTCATCATTTTCAAGCATCTTAGTTTAAGAAGTTTCACAATTGATTGGAATATTCACCTAAATTAGATGCATCTTTTTATTTGCCATGTTACTTGTTTAGTGATGATCCAAGAAATTATGGAAAAGATGGATTTATAATTCAATGATTTCAATCTTGAAAAAAAGTTAATAATGATGCCAGTTGTGCATTTCTTAATCATATTGAAATTACTTATAATTCTCCACATATTGTTGTGTACAAAGTTGTGATGCATTAATAGCTCAATCTCAACATATGGAAAAAGTTTTCCATAGACAAAATTTGTAGAATATTTCGAACAATTGTTTGAGATTAAAGGCTTCCATTGATGCTGTTTGGTGGCTTGCTTTTCAAGCATATGCATTTAGAGGTAATGATAAAATTAAGATCTGCAAATAGGGGGAATTTTATTGAATTGATAGAGCTTTTAGCAACTTATTATCCAAATGTTGCTAATATTGTCTTAGAAAATGCTCAATATATCTCTCATAGCATTCAAAAACAAATCTTGTATTCCCTCTGTTCAAAAATATAAAGCATTTTTTGAGAAGTTAGATGCTAAAAAATGTAAGACATTTTTAATCTTTCAATGTGTAATTGTTACCTTTTTTCAAAAGTGTCTTTATTAATAATGACTTTATATTTATTGTAGAGTATTTAATAGGGATAAATATAAAAAAATAGAGTTAATTTAAAAGTAAGTAACTACTATATTGAGGGGTGAAATTCGATTAAAGATGCCTTACATTTTTTAACAAAAAGGGTATATCTTTGCTAGAAAGGTGTGTCCAGGGATTTTCAATTCTTTATCATTATTGATGAAGTAAGGGATGAGTCTAAAAGAGAGCAAATGGCCATAATAAACTTGACAATCATTTTTTAATAACTATCAAATATATCCCCATATTTACTGTTTATTTTTAAATAACTGTCAATTAATTTTGGTAAAAAAAATAATTCTCAGATGGTAAAAACTTTACCATAATTAAATTGATGGCTATTTCCAAATAATTGTCAAGTATGAGGATATTTTTTATTTAATATAATATTGATAACTTGTCAATATTAAAGAAAAATTGTTGAAAAATTTGAATAAATTAAATTTTAAAAATTGATAACTTTTTTATTTGAATATTTATAAGTTATTATTCGGATATGAATAATAATGCATCTATAATTAATAATAATTTATATAAATGTTTAAAAAAAAGTAATACATACGCACGTACATACCTACATATGTCTATATATATATATATATATATTATGTTTTGTATTATTTAATCAAATGATTTTGGTTAAGTGATGAACTACTTTTTGCACAATCAAGGTTCAAATCTCCCCTTGACCCTTTGACCGAATTTGACTGTGGATATCAAAGCTCCAGCAGCTGGCGGTGGCGGCAACCTTGTTGTCACCAAGCGGCAGCAAAACATAAGAGACGGGAGCATTGGCATCACCTCAGCGAAAAATTTAATTACAACAACGGCTTGTAGATTTGTATGGGAATTTGAGATTTCTTTAGTAAATTTCTTGCTTCTGAGGATTCTACTTCAAATTCTCTCTATAAAATTATAATTTATAATAATATTAATATTAATTTATGATTATGTTGTATTATATTTTAACTAGACATAATGTGAATTTATTTTTCATGTGTGTGTTTGTGTGTATATAATGCATTTAGTATTATTTTTATTTCATTTTTACGTTATCATTTCAATCGCTAATCTAATAAGTTAGATTATAAAAACTTAAATCCATTGAATTTTTTAGTTTAACATCTAGTCTGATTTTTAAAACATTAATCAAATTGTGAATTTTTAGTAAACCATTTAGGATTCAAAAGTTTCATTTGGTTCAGTTTTGGACAAAAACCAAACCAATCCATTTATACAAAATTTGGCTTAATCTATAGTTAAAGAAGTGTCTTTGATTCAATTTAGATTGGTTTGGATCATGTCAAAATAGTTTTTAAATGAAAAATTATAATTTCTGTTCTTTAAATTTCATGTTTTTACACCTTCAAGATATTTACATGCAATGTGTGTATTATTTGTATTTTTTTCCTCGTTTAATCTTTATATTTTTCATAAATTTAAATCAATTTTACAATAATATACTAATATTTAAAACTAAAAAGATTTATCCTCAAACTCACATATTAAATAGATTAATTTTATTACTTTACAATTTTACACCGTGTGTGTGTTTTTTACTTTTTTTTTTTTTGTGGCTTATTTTGCTTTTAAAATAGGATCTGAAATGATATTTAAAACTTCCAAAAAAAAAAAAAAACCCTTATGCAAGAACAATGAAGTTTGGTGACGTTTGGTCCATGTTCCGAGACTAAAACGTAGATCAGGCCCAAAAACAAAACTAAAACTAAAACTAAAACGTGGATAAAACGTATTAATTTGTCCAAGTTAAAATCTAAACCAGACATGATTGCAACTTGATATCAATCAGTGTTGGTTCGCTTTGGTTCCATTCGATCCACCTGATTTGGATCAGTTTTGAACATCGTTATTTAAAACAGAACAAAACAAATAATCCACTTGGAAAATGAGATTGTCTCCGAATGATCTTTCAATAAAATTTCAATAAAATTAAAATTAATAATTTAACAGAATCCCTGATTCTAATTTTCCCTAAAATTTATCCGAGTTGTAATTCAAAAAAAAAAAAATTACAAGTCAACAGTTAAATGAACCCGTCGTCTCCCATAATGGGCACCTCAAGCATTTGTCTCGCATTTGAAATTGGACCTCTAAAATTTTGGACTCGATTGATGCCTAAAATTCGAGTAGAGGTCAAATGAATGACAACAATTTTCAGTGACCCTCTTAGAAATTGTATTTCGCCAAAAAAATTAAATAAATAAATGCGACCACCGCCTACAAGTATACAACATTGACCTGTCATACTTCGTACTTGACAACTAAAATCTAATTAAAGCCTAGTTGAATGAAGCAGTTTCTAGTAACCTGAAAATGCAGAGATTTCGCCTCAAGTCCAATTTCACCTACAAATTTCCACAACAAAAAACAGCCGAAAAAAAGAAAAAAGTACTCGACCAGCTGTACAACTGATATAACAAATAAGTGTAGAAAATTAGCTCCACAGTAACACATTCAAGTATTCAAGTGAACAATGCTATTTTCAAAGAATGCAGAAAATTATACTCAATTTCTACTCCTGTCCTTAAGCTTCAGGGTATTCTACAAGACAAAGATTTTATATAGCCAACAAGGTATACTAATTATTTGCCTACTTCAAATGGGGGTGTTGTGGGGTGAGAACAAATCAAATGAATAGGAAACAAAAATCAATGATGTGGAAAGGAAATGATTTGGTGAAAATACAGCACATGGGATTGATCCTATCCCTTCTAAGACACTTTATCATTCTGACCACCCCAGGGCTGTTGAAAGAGTAGCCTTCTGTGCATTTAGGAAGCAAGATCATTCACTTACCTTGCAGTTCCGAAGATGAGGATGATCGTACTTGACATACTTGGTCCAGTAAGAGCGATATTTGGTCATGGAAATCTCTAACCATGGCTTCATATTGCCATTATAGTGAATAACAGCAGCATTCTCGATCTCTGATCGATTGACACTTGGATTGTAACCCAAACCAAGTACATGCCATGACTTATGTAGGGGATGTATAAGCCCATAAAATGTTATTAGGCCGGGAGGCAAAGTCCCCAGCTTCCAAAGCGACCTATCTTCATTCTGAAAAACAGACAGAAAAAACGATGGTCAGAGAAAGATCAGTTCTGTCCCTTAACTGTCTTTGAAGATAGACGTCGTGTAAACTGTAAACCAATTTTATATTAAATGGCGCACCATATTCTGCCACTTGTGATAAATGCCAGTGATATCCTTCCTTTTCCACTCATTCAGATCAAAAATATTCATCCCATATGCCCAACCACAAGCATTTGGATCAAAATTTCTAGCAATATGGGGATTTGTGAAGTTCAGATACTTGTCAAATCGGTGAAAGCTCTCGCCACATGTTTCAACTGCTCCATTCACTTTCCCATTAAGATCCACATCCCACAGTCCGGTCAAATCCTTCTGAACAACAATGTCATCATCAAGAAAAAGAATCTTATCCAATTTTGGATATACTTGAGGGAGATAGAACCTTAGATGGTTGAGCATGGAGAGATATTTTGGGTTCCTATACTTCAAATTAGAAGCACTAGAAGAAAGTGTGTTTGGATGGCCTGCCTTGAAATAATACTCTTTCATACTAGCAGATTCAAGTTGCCTCAATACAGGGCAGTAGGATGAATTTAGCCACTTAAATTCATCAACATTTTCAACATGGATTGTAGCTTTGCCAGGAGGGTTTAACAGAAACCACATGTTCATGGCTGCGTAGTTTAATTTATCAGTAACAAGGTGGAAAACGTGCCTAGAAGGATCCTACAATATCAAAGAAAAGAAAATGCAGAGTTAGATAATATGATTCTTAAGTCCTACTTGGACAGGCTTAAAAATTGACATGCAGAAAAGAAAGAATGTGCGTGAAAGACTCATGCGCACACATGCCAATACAGGAAAAAGCAGCCTAAGTCACCTTGGCATTCTTGATGGTTGAGTTAACAACAACAGATGCAGCCAACACATTGTCGGAGAAAAGAGCATAATGATAGAGATTTGGATTTTCCAAATTCTCACTCTTGGGAAAAATTCTCTTTTCTGGAGGAAGGAGGTAGTAATCTATGGAAAGCTGCAAGGATAAGCAATGAATTCCATTTGGTATGGTCTTAGCAGCCAACTGACTGAGGAAAGTGCTCTGTTTCTTCAAGCTCCTTACTTGCTCGTCAGCAGTTACTAGCATTGCCCTCAATTTTCCAGTGATCAACTTGCAGTCATACAAATGCTCCTTTGCTTTAGACAGGACTTGGCCCATAGCCCTGATTTTCTCATGCACACTTGAAAGTTTTGAAAATTGAGCAGTTAAGGCTAGTCAGAAATATCAGAGAAAGGGGATGTAGAATTGTCAACACAAGATATAAACTTGAGAGAAAATTAAACAGCCAGATAGTGCACTACCTATGATGCAGGTCAGCATCAGATGCTGCCTCACCTAAAGCATGTTGACTCTCTTTAAGTCGAGATTGCAATTCTCGATACAGTTCTTGATTGTTTTTCATCTTTGCAATGCTTAAATACACCTTAGCCATAATCATTTGGTCCCGCATCAACCGTACAGTAGAGTCAGAGTTTTCATTATCCATTTCTTTCCTCCAAATGCTATATTTTCCCAGAACTGCTGAATCAACTGATTTGGAGCGTTCAATAGCTGCATTTTCAAGTTTTACAAGCACTTCATTATCCTGTTTAACCAACTCGGCAGCACGCTTTCCACGCCTTTTATCAATCAATTGCTGCAAATAAAATTAGTGTATTCAAGTTCAAAGTACTGCTCCTAATTCCCAAAGGAATTGAATCCCAAAAAAATAAAAATCAAATACAGAGTCTCACCCTCCGTGCTTGCTGTGCAGGATTATCAGTTCCCTGCTCAACTTTCAGGTTTCCTTGTCTACTATGCATTGTTGGCTGGTTTAGTTTCTAATTAAAAAAAACATATAAAAACATGAAAAGGGGTTAGAAGCAGCAACGTAATAATAGTTCATTTCTGCAGAAATGAAGGTATAACATGAAGAACAAATTTCTGGCACAAGAATATCAATCCTCTAACCTCAAACGTAGCATTTGAATTCTCCAATTCAACTCTCCAAGAAGCAGAAAAATTGTTTTTTCTGAAGTTATCAAGATTTAAAGGCCCCATATCATTTGTACTGGCATCAATTACGTCAAGAACCTAAAAGGAAATATTAATTAAAATGCCAGAAAATAAAATGTAAACAACCACCAAAAAAATGAAGAGATATGGTTTAAAAGTAAATCTACATCAGCTTGTAAGTACCTCTTTTGAAAATAGTGATCTGAGGTCGTGCAATGCCTGCCATTCTTGCCATTTGGAAGCCTGCAGCAGTCAACAACTCTCTTTAAGATGTACAAATGAAAACAGATAGAAGCTGCATCAAGAGTCTATTGGATATATAACCACTAACGCTGGGAAGCATAAACCACGGTACCTGTTTGCTTGGAACAGTTGAAATGCCATCTTGACCTGCACAAAGCCCTTGATATTATCAGGAGGAAAAAACTCAGGTTTGAACGTGTAAACATATGCATATAGAAACAAAAGCAAGCTAGAGCTAATAAGGATTTTCTGTTGTCCTTCAGGGGGTTGGAACTGGGGAGGATGAAACATTAAGGTAATGCAAGAAAACAATAATCTCAGTGAAGGACTTCCTACTCTATCTTGGTTCTCACATATTAACAGTCACTGAGAAGTGACAACAGAGAATAAGAAGTCACTAAGCCACAGCACAACCTATTTGAGACATACCTGGTAAGGCTAATTAACCAAAATAGAATTTTCCATGTCTCTGTTAAAATGTGATGAAATATGAGAATAACATATTTGAAGAAACCTAGGCTAGTAGCTTATTATCATTGTATGTTGCCTGTAAGAAACCTATCCAGGAAGAAGTAAGTTAATTTTGTGTTATTTCAATACATTTGTAAAGAGGGAAATCTGAATATTAGCTTTATCTAGCCAAGTTATTAAGGTTTCCTTAATAGGCAGGAAAGTTTAGTTTAAATAGATTAGGCTTTACTCTTGTAAGAACACTCTTGATGAATGAATGAGTATTGTGTGTAAAATCTGATAGCTTTCTCTCTCTCTCTGCGTTCTGCCTTTCCCTCATGCTCCCCCACTGTTCTGTCTTCATCTTCTTTATTTCTTTCCTTCTGGTTTCTCTCTACTCTCTCCCTCTATTCAGATTGGTGCAAGTGTGTGTGTGTGTTACATCAAAATGTATACCAAGATCGTGAACTGCCGACTTGAGTATTCCTTCCACTTCAAGTCTTTAACAACCCCCCAAAAATAAAAAAGTAAAAAAATAAAAAAAAAGATATTCCTTCCACTTTCTGATTACATTAACCACACCAATCCTACTTCATGCCCACCATCACATAAGCCATAGCAGTACAAAACACGCCACAAGTCATTAAAGAGAAACTATCCTTACTGATAAACATAATAACAACGAATGGTGAAGGAAATATATGAAGCAAATCTACAGATAAGCATAACACAAACATTATGCATGTGCATCTCTCTCTCTCTCCCTCTCTTCTCTTTGTTTGTGTGAGACCCTAACTTTTACATTTTAGAAATAAGATAGTTCAACCAAACTGTTGCTATAAAACTCCTATGTCAAAAGACAAAGCGGAAAAGAAGCCATAAAACTCTTACTCATTTAAAAGAGAACAAGCCATTACAATCTTTCAGCACATCAATATACACTTTGTGCACTATTGCAGTGCTTGCAATTCAGCAGGTCAAAATACCATGCATAAAAATCCTCAAATTACAAGTGACTATCTTAAACCATGTTCATGGTACTTCTTTCATACTCCAAATTACTCAATAAAAAATAAACCCAATGAACTGCTAGAAAAATCTGCATCTAAACAGAGCCTAGATACTTCAACCAAGAACCACCCAAGTAAATTAGAAGTGCAACCCACTTAAATGTCCACATAGCTATCCACACTATTCAATACAAGACTACGCATCCCATTTAACCTTGGATTCCATCAATTGGCTGTCCTTGGAGAGCCAATGCCTCAGTGGCTACATTCTGTTACTACGCAGCTAAAGCTAGTACATCAAGCAGTTCTTTGACAAAGAATCAAGCCGACAAAGAAGTCACAACCTCAATCCATTATGTCATGACCTCAATCCTCTGCTCAATTTTCAAATTAATCAATAATTTTTATAGATTTTTTCATTTCACTGACTTTATTACAAGCCTTTCTTTCCTTGCCTTTTAGATTGTAATGTCACTTCATCAAAATCCCTTGTTGCACTTAGGGTTGAAATCAGACCAAGCTGAGTCAAAACCAATCTAACTCAGTTTATTTTCCAATAACCTATGCCAAAGCAATCCACCCCTACCAACTTGAACAGATAAAGACAGAAGTATTGTACTAATAATCTTTTCTAAATATATGTACAGGTGCAGCTATAAGTACAGAATAAAGGATATATATTCTGTATGGTTCATTGTCACTATCTTCAGCAATGAAGATTTCTATGAATTTTTTTAAGAAAGAATTATTTATTGGACTAAATTAACCTATTCTCCAATCTCGGCGCTATCTACCTGCTAAGGCTAAGATATGGAACTCGCATTCTAAACAAGAATTTGTATGAAAGGATTTGCAAGTTTAACAATATTCAGAGACCAGGGTCTCAGAGCACTGCCCCTCAGGTTAGATAGATAAATGCTATGTGTTATGCCATATCCAAGGCATGCTCACAATTAATTTGTAAACCATCTAAGTACAGCTTGAAAATTTCCTCCATGCTTAATAATCTATAACATCTGTGGATCATCTAACTTCCCAAAAAAAAAAAAAAGAATTGATTCTAGAAGAATATGGTAGTTAATGTTGGGCTTTGACAGGACAGCAAAAACATAAAGTTGGAATAGCAGAGATGAGAATGTTGAGATAAATGTGTAGATATACAGGTAAAGACAAGATTCAAAATGAGCGAATATTAGAAAAAGTGGGTGTGGCACCTATTGAAGAAAAAATGGTAAAAAATCGTTTGAGATAGTTTGAACATGTACAAAGAAGACCACAGGAGGCACCTATGAGGAGAGTGGGACAGATGACTTTAAGGAAGACTAAAAGAACACTTTTTGAGGTGGTTGAGCGAGACTTTTTAATTAATAATATTCTTAAAAACTTAATAAATGATAGAGCACAATGGCGTCATATAATCCATGTAGCCGACCCCACCTAATGGGATAAGGCTTGTTGTTATTGTTGTTGTCAAGAAGAATGTTGCTTTTCTGGAGTTCATAACCTGCTGAGTTTTTTTCATTAATGAAAGAGGGGTGCCTCAGCAAGTAATGCAACAGTAACAAAGATGCTAAGAAAAACTCCTTCACCCAAATATGCGCAAGGAATAAGAATAGGCAAAGCAACACAAACATCTTAAAAGAATATTCAAATAATCATCAGTAACATTATCAACAACTAATAAAAGAAGAAATCAAATATTAGATTGACACAAATTGCCAAGAAATTTAGAAGATTACTATCATCCTCAACAGACATGACATCAACATTTAAATGATTTAGATTATTTCCCATGCCTCTATCATGTTATCCATAATCTCAACAAGATTTTGTGTTGTAGAACTTGAGGCCATTGCCTTATTTATTGAATTTTCTGCATTTCCTGCATTATAATGTCAAATATATCTTCTTTGACACTGTAACCACGCTGCATTCCTCCATTTGCTAATTTCACTGAGCCCTGTGGCTTATTTGAAGAAATTGCAAACAAGTAGCATTCTCCATAAATTTCCATATCATATTTATTGCTTGCTTTTAATATTTAAAATATGCTATCAGTTATGCAATAACTGGACACCCTTGCCACCACTTTGCCTTGGCCTCTTAGAGGTGCTTTCTCTTAGGACCGCCAGACACAGCCAACTTTGATGTTCCGTGCTCCTAAAGACCAAAAATGTACTATTTTTGGGGCCACTCTCCTAACACGAACTTAATACAGCTGCGAAATTTTCCGAGAATCTCAATGTAATACCTATATCAACCATACATCGTATCAACTACAAGCACCCATAAAAATTGCAACATGATACTATCAGTAATTTACGGCAGCACTAGATAAGCTTTCTAGTCCCACAAGGAGCACAACTGAAGTGCGCTCCATTAAGCATAAATCTTGCGACCGCAATTATCAAACGAATCACCCTTTCCTTATCTTATTGAACCCATGGCAGCCAATAGGAAAAAACAAGCATGTTCTAAATATGCACACAGAAAAGACAGCAATACCAAAGACTCAACCTGGAATTCGTTTCCTAACCAGTTAAACAGAAACTATCGTAATCTACGAAAAGACTTTCTAATCAGACAAAAGAACGAGTATGTATCAACAAAAAACTAACCACATCCACTTAATTAAAAATCATGCAATCACTATTTTCTTGCTGAGATCTGCGAATCAACGTTTGGCATGTATTAAATCCTAGAGTAGGGGAGGAAAAATACTCAAGAATCACAGAATCGGGACTAACCCGCAGTAATAAGCACTCTAGCGAAGAAAATCAAAGGCGCAAGAAGACAGAGGAAAATGAAAACCAGAAGAGGGAAATGAGATCCCTTGCTTCTACTTCTGCTGACGAATAGCCCTCTCTTGGGCGCCATTGTGAATCAAGACCTTGAAAAGAAAAGGAAAAATAAACCCAGAGTGAGAAAGCAACATTTGAAGATAGAAAGAATGAAAGTTAAAGCGGAAGTGAGAGATATACAGGTCCAATTGCAGAGGGATCTGATTGAAGTGTTGCTTGGGAGTGACTATGGTATAATGCTAGTCAAAATCCATCAACAGCGAAAGACAAAGAAATCCAAGAACTCCAATCCAGACACAATGCAAGAACGAGAAGTCGAGAAAGGAAAGGTGAGACTGCATAGAGAGAGAGAGAGAGAGAGAGAGAGAGAGACGGAGTGATGGAGAAGAATAGAGAGAACAAAACGGGGAGGCAGGTTGTTTGATGATATTTTCTTTTCTTTTATTTTCCTTCACTTTCTATCACGTTCTTCCTTTCTTCATTTCTCACGCAGTTTTATGCATCAATCAGGCAACGCAAAGCAATTATTTACATCATTTTCCTGTTTATTAATTGAGAACGGCGCGGAGCGCTGAACGATGACGACGTCGTTACCTGCTCAGCAATTGGCTGGGGCCAGGAAAAGCGTGTCGGTAAGGAGTATAATTATGAAATTTTCGACCAAAAAATAATTAAATGGTTGAATAAGTATGTAAATAACTACAACTCCCTCCGTCAAAAAAATATAAAATATTTTTAAAAAAATAAATATTTAAAAATATAAAATATTTTTAAATTTTTTAAGATGTAATTATTATTAATTTTTTAAAAGTATTCCTATTAATAAATAACTTTATATTAATTGTATGGTATTTAATAAAAATAAATATAAAAAAATAGGATTAATTTAAAAGTAGATAATTACTTTGTTAAAGATAAAATTTAATTAAAAATACTTTATATTTTTAAATAAAAAAAGTATTATAAATTAAAAAGTATTAATATAAACAATAGAAATTGATCCAGCAAATTATCCGAACGGAATCAGCCAAGAAAAATTATCCGAACAGAAAAAACGTTGAATCTAACATAAGAGGCTATGGTTAGTTCTCTACAACGCTTTTTTTTTTGAAAAAAAAATTATATTAATAAAGTTTATTAAATATAATTTAAAATATTATTTTTTAAAAAAATAAATATAAATTTATAAAAATACTTTTCATTTAATATCATTTTATTTGTAAAATATTAAATAGATAGAAAAAATATAATAACGAGGGAAGGGTAATATTAAAATAAGTATACTTAATAAAATTTTATTTTTATTAAAGTGTATTTTATTTTAAGATACTAAATCACATCAAAAGTGTCTTTTAATCTGGAATGAAGTGATAACTTAAAGTTTGAATTTCTACTTTGAGAGGTATTTATATTTAGATAGGATTTGAATTAGTGAATTTAAATTTGAATCATAAATTTAAAATCTCACATTTAAAATATATATTTAAAATTCCTTTTTGTTCCAGAGTGTTTTACAAAATTACTTGAATTGATAAAAGACTTGCTCCCAAATCAAAATGTGCTGCCTAATCAGTATTATAATGCAAAGAGAATATTATGTTCATTGGGTATGAAATTTAAGAAAATACACTTAATGACTGCATATTCAACAGAAAAGAGTTTAAAGAGGATATAAAGTGTTCAATTTGTGAGACACCAAGGTATAAGGAGAATAAAGCTCCCATGAGGCTATTGTGATATTTTTCAATTGTACCAAGACTAAAGCATCTTTTTTTAATGAAAGAGATGCAAAAAAATCCAATATAGCATGCAGATGAAATGATTTCTAATGGAAAGCTAAGACATTCAGCCGATTTTGAGTAAGGGAAGATCAATTATTTCCTGATTTCAGCAATAAGCTAAGGAATCTTATGCTAGGACTAAATACTGATGGCATGAACCCGTATAGTAGTATTAGCAGCATTCATAGATCATGGCCTATGCTTGTGGTGATTTACAACTTATCTCCTATGTTGTGTATGATGTAACATTCTGAAGTTTTAATTCAAAAATTTATAAATTAATTAAGGCAAATTAATAAGTTAGAGTATTAGTTAAGTTAATTGTGTTTCTAAATTACTAATGGACATATTTTAGATTGTTTGGACTGCTTTAAAATTAAGGATGGTAATTGGGCCAATTGGGCCCAAATGGAGACCCAGATCATGTGTGGACTAGACTAATCCATCCGCCACAGTGGAGGCCTTGTGCGCCATAATGATGGCAGCAAATTTAGTTAAATGATACACGAATCAGACATGAGAAACAGAGAAAAAAGAAAGGAAAGCGAGAAAGCAAAGGAGAGAAGAGGAAGCTCTACTAAGGCATAAGGGTCTTGGCCATTTAGATGTGGGGTTGGTCCTCCAATTATCCAAATAAGCCTCCTACTCCTTCCCTCTACATTCCTATTAATTATTTCTTAGAATCTTGGGCATGGGAAATGATGATCTTGTGACCCAAGGGTTTGGGTCCAAACCTAGTGACTCAAAGAGAGTTATTGAGAGTTGATTTAAGTTTTTATAACTAGGATTGATGGTTTTAAGGAGTTTTATGGTTGGTACTTTTAAGTTGGACAAACCCTAGTCTTAAAATGAAATTTTGGAGCAAGAACCCTCAATTGGTGTTGGTTGACTTAATAAAAGTTAAATAAAATTAATGAAAGATGATTAGGACTTTTATTTGCCCAACGATATAAGTTAGGAGCTTAGGTTAACTTATTGAGCTATTAAGTACCAATATTAAGTTGGAAATTAACATATAGTGCTTAATCTTATAGATTGTTGTTGCTCAAGTTCCCTTTAAGCAATTGGAAATTAGTAAAGGGTAACAATTTCCATGAGTCACCCTTTTATGAAATATTATTTGTTTTCTTACTTTACTTGTTTATAGTCCTACTTTCACTTGATTTCATTCCAAGGGCCATAAACAAGTAAAATGGGGAAACGAACAACATTTCACAAGTCAATGAACAATATATAGTATGAAAACAAACAAGTCATCTTATTATAAAACCAACATTTAGAATAAAATTAAGTAAAACTAGAGCTATAAACAAGTGACGTAAGATAATTAAAAACATTCTTTAATTAAATAAACAACATATAATATAAGAACGAATAAGTCATTTATGTTGTTCATTAAAATAAGGGTAATTTTTTCATTTTTGTCACAATTTAAAAGAAATTCCGTATGGGTCCTTTAGTAAAATTTTAAAAATTAGGAGGTCCTCTTTTTCATTATGTTAGGTCAAAGGTCCCCACCTGAAAGTTTCCCATTTTAATATGTGAGTGTGTATGCCTGCAAAAATAAATTTAAGGATATCGATATGATTAATCATGATTATGTGATGATAAGAGTTATAAATGCATGATAAACTAGCATGAGCATGAGTATATTTGGCGTGATCATGAGATTGTAGGAGTTTGCCTGAGGGGAGTACAGTGATTGCATCCATGTAGATATTACCAACACCATAAATGGCCATATGATGTTTGTTATAGAGTTAGGTATTTGATGACTTCCTGCATTGTGTTATAATTAACATGTTTTTAATTATATGTTGAGAGTCATTAATAGAAAAGAAAAACATTTTCTTACTTTTATAAAGAGAAATTAACTAAGTTTCTCATGTGAATTTATTGTAATATTTTTAAGAAAATTTTTTAAAATGATAGAAATTGAAGTAAATAAATATTCCACTCATATTCATTAATTGTTGATAGGTGGGACATCAAAAAAATTAAAGCAAGAAAGAGAAAGGAGACAAGAAAAAAGATGATTCTGATTCCAAGACACTAAAGCAAAAGTATCTGTACATTGTCAAAATTTTATTAGAATTGCTCACAGGTGCCATGGCACCATAGCAGAAGTGCCATGGCACCAGACGAAAATACATAAAATAAACAATTTCATTTTCTATGCAAAAATACCCTACAAAACTCATTTTTCTAGACTTGAGGAGGAATGTTTCAATTGCTACAACTGGAGAAAACCTTAGGAGAGCAAGAGGAGAAGTCTTGAAGCTTGGGATCAAGAAGAAAGTGGAGCAAATCTTCATTCTACCTCATTTTATCAATGCTTTCTCTTCTTTTTTTCTCTCTATGTTGATAGATTCAAACCTTTTCTTTGCTATTACAGTTTTCATATTAACTTTGTATAGCTAAATCTTTTTGTTCTATAGAATTATGAACCTATTTGTGTAAACAATCTTTAATTTACCATTTAGTTATTGAGAAATGAAGTTTTGATTACTTGTTCTTGAGCTATCTTGTTCTTGTTTAGTGTTTGGCCCAACCTAATTATCTAGGAAATTAAACTAGAAAATTAATCCTAATTGTCAATAAAGTGGCTTCTCTATTCAAATAGGAACCCTTAGGTGTCACTAATGGAAGATTTTTAGCCCTTTAATTAATTATGGCAGCTCACTTAACTCTCCTTCCTTGGCTGAAAAATGCATTTACTTAAGACAATTATCTCAAGTATCCTAACTTCACTAATTCAATTCTCTAAGTGCTATTACAAACCCCCTAGGTAACCTTACTAACTTAGCTCTAAAATTAATCAAGTGTTAAAATTCATTCCCAAATGTCACTTTTCAAAGCTGTACCTAAGCTCAAAACTATGAAAACTCAAGTAACTCATCAAATATTTATCACACAATTACATGCTAGGCTAATACAAGACATTCTCCAAGTGAAATCACATATTATCATGTAATTATCATGTAAAAACACTAAGAGGCTGAAATTCCAACAGCATTAAGAACTTAAAATTCAATTAAACAATATTGTTTCAACATTATAAATTACAAAAAACTATAAAACTAAAGTCAAATTGAACCACAATCAACAATATTCATAGTATTCTAACGAAATTAAAACAAGATGAAGAAATAGTTAAGTTTAGCTAAGTAAAGACTTCAATACTCCTCTTCCATCAACTCTCCCCTAGAATCCATGAAGAATCTAGCTAGAAAATATTAAGAAAATCTTGCTTCCTCCATAAACACCATGCGGCCAAGAGATATGCTCCATACTCTTAATGAATTGAGCTTCAATTCTTCCTTTAGATGTTTGGAGTGAGTTTGGCCATGATAGGGGAAGAGAATGGTGGAAGATTTGGGTGGACTTGATGGAGAAATGGTGGAAGAATAGGGGCTAGACGTGCTGGAGTGTAGAGAGAAGGAGGAGAAAATGAAGAACACCAAAAACAAGAGAGAAAATGTGGAAGATGAATGAGATGATGATTGAATCTAATTTTAGGGCTGAATGGCGTGCAAAATGTGGTTTTTCATAGCTGAAGATTAATTTGAAAATAAATTAAAATGAAAATGGGAGCATTGTCATACTTGTAAGGTGGCACTCTCCTATTGGTTGGTAGATAATTTCAATGTGTGCCTAATTTTTCATG